AAAATCGGTGAACTGGTCATATAATCGGTCCAGTTTTTAAATTAGACCGGCCATGTTACAAAATCGATGTAACCCAGTGCGACCCGGTTGATTCAATCAGTGACCCGGCCAGTTTTTGTAAAAACCGGTGATCCAGTCGGTTCAACCGGTGACCCGGCCAAGTTAGTTAAAATAAAAAATAAAAATAAAAACTAATTTATTCTCATCATTTGATACCTTCCTTTTTTTTCACTCTCACACACAAATGATTTGTTTTGCTTTAAAATATTTGAGCGATCTGTAGCTTATTAACTTAAATAAATTATATACATACAACATTAATATTATCTTGGTTATGCAATATGCACGGAATTTTGATTTAATTTATAGTTAGAAATATCGTTTAGTAAACCTGAAACACCATTATCACAAATATTATATGTTTGGTTGATATTTTGTTGGACAATAATGTGTAATTTATTATTTTTCATATTAAAATATTTGAAACTGGTATCATTTTTTTACAGGTATTTAAGTATATTTATAATTTTTTTAATATAAATTATATATTTACATATACTTACTTAGTCATGTGGTTGAACTAATAACTCATTGGTTGAACCAGTGATCCAGTACTTCGATCGGATCAATAATCATGCCAGATTTAATAACATTGAATTCAACCTTCTCACTGTTTGTACATGAAGTCTTGATATAAAGTATGGGAAAAATATGTATCATTTTAAAGGATGTAAAGTTGTGTCATTTTAAGTGAGAGAAAAAAGATAGATAAAGTAGGAGAGTATGGGTCTTATCTCTTTGTGAGAGTAAAAGGATAAAAGTTGTGTCATTTAAAAACACTTTACTGTCCATTATTTCAATCAAAAAGCAATTCATCCTTCAAACTTATCCAAAATATAATATTCAATTTGCTTGAAACAAATTTAATATAACAGCGCGATAGCTTGGGATATTGTAGCAGTGTTACCCGGAAAGAAAATTGCAGAAGATAAATAGAATAGGAGAAGAGTTAGAGAGAAAGATGAGACACAAGGGAGAAATGAGTCAATAATTTTCTATGCCTTTTCATTCCAAACACGCACCTATTTAACAGTAAACGTATGTAACTGAATTACTATCTCATCTCAAAGGGAAATCCTAATTATGTGGTAATGAAAATAATAAAAAGTAAAGGAACACATATTGTAGAATTAAAAACAAACACATGTTTTAGGTGTGACCATTGGGAGTATGTGCTTTTGTATATAAGTGGATTGCTACAGATATCAAGTATTTTATCCTGCGGCAAGCTACTATATCATTCCAGTAGCTTGTTTCACAATCACGTCGAGATAGGGTTCTTGTATTCTAAAGCAAGACAATCAATATACAAAATGGCTCGCAAAAAGTGAGATTCAAGGCATCAGTATCTCGCACTATTGCGAAATGGCTAATTAGACGTGGGATTCATAACATGTACATCTCACTTTACGACGAGTTGTCTTATTCACAGTAATAAGTACCACTAACAGAAGGATAAAATCCTCAAATAGAGTGCGTGTACATTTTCGGGGATGAGAATTAAAGTTTATCTGTCTCTAACTACGGCGTCAATGTTCGTAATCATTTTTTTGTTTGAGCTGACTATATAATCTTCCTCTACACAAACAGTGGCGGAAGCATAAATTTTATTGAGAGGGGACGAAAAATAAAAATATTTCTTTATAAATAAAAGTACTTCAAATACAATACAGACTTAGTATGCAAAATATTGAAAAAAAATCTATTACAGAAATTAAGATCATTTCACTTTATTCTTACTTTACGTGTTTTCGTATTATTAAACCTATCTACAATAAAAACAGATCAAGAAAATGTTTAAAAAAATTATAGATAAATAAATAAATTAAAAAAAATGTATGTGGAAATGCATTGTACATAAATGATGCTTGGACAAGATGTTAAATCCAATAAAATTATTCAAATATAATTATCAAGATATATTGTAGAACAACACTCTAGCAAGCTAACCAACATTGAAAAGTAAACACTTATGGATCTCTGAGTCCAAAAAAAAAAAACACTAATAGTTCAGTAAATGAAGCATTTGAAAATTTGAAATATTACAAGTCCCCAATAAATATGTTGTTATGCTCTATTGTATTTGACCTTGAGTTTTGAATTTTTTTTTTAATTTATTGGTTCATCCATGTTTTGAATTTTTTTTAATTTATTTGTCCAACACAATTTATTCTTTCAGTTCGAAAAGTAATCCTTAATGAAACATTAAATCATTAAAAAACATTAATGCACCGAATGTGAGCATTGGTTCATCCATGGGAATGATATGAATGAATTTCGAAACAAAACAATCGAATAATAGCAACATTGTTAATTTCATAAAAAAAAATAGAGATAGTGAGAGACTAAAATTGAGAGAGAGGGGGGGTTTTTTTTCCATGGGGAAGCAGATGGGGCCATGATTGACTGTAGTGTGATATCTTATGGTGTCATGGAGAATAATTTTATATTATACAATTTTTAAAACAAATAATTTAATAATATTATTAAAATTTTATTTTATATATATATATTAAAAAAAAGTTTCTTTAAATTTCGGGGGGTGGCCCACCTTAGCCCCCCCCCCCCCCCCCCCCCTAAATCCGCCTCTAGTTACACAAATGATTTGGTGCAACTTTAATTCATGGGTCTTCAGTGGAACAAGATGGGGTGTACTTATAAGACATTCCGACGCTCAAGTTAGTTAAAGGATTAAGCAGGTTTATTCATGTAGAAGAAGATGTATACCTTTGGTTAACACATTCATATTTATAGTTGAGAGATGTTATTCTTTATGGTGAAGGCAACTATCTTTCTTCGTTAGTGTTTGTGGGTGACTTTGAGATAAGCTTTTGGTGCAAAAGTAGCTCGGTGGTGAAATATAAAGAGGTGTTTGTGGAAAGTGGATTGCTGAGATATAGCAGTCTTAGTTGACTTGAAGTCTTTTCTTCATAGTGAAGCCTTTCAATATGGGCCTCATTTCAAATCAGTGTATTTAGACACCATAACTTATTTCAAAGTCATAAGGCATTAAGTGTATAGGTACTTCCATGTACTTATATGTTGCTTACTGAGTCCATTCTTACGATATTTTATTATTGGGTGACTTTTTTTTCTAAGTATTTTTCATTGGATAAATAAGAGACTAATTTACGGGGAATACAATCAGACATCAAAAGTGAGAATCTATATGGACGGTATTAATTTGATGGGAAAAACTATTCTCATATTATATGAGATTAGTTTTACCTCTTACACTCTCTTTGATATTCATGCAGCCTTTTTATTTTTATTTATTTTTATTTTTCAGGTGATGAGTCCGACCACTATATATCTATAACACGACATTCTCGTTCTCATGTTACACGAGAATAGATAAACCCTTATTTTATAGACTTTAAATTCAAGATGAAACTTAGAACCACATGTTTAAGGACTCGAACTCTTTCTATTAAAATCAACCCACCTTAATTTACCATATGTACATGGATACTTTTTTAAAAAAAATATTTCAAATAGAAATTTTAAAGCGAAGTAATAAAAGAATAAAAATGATTTTTACACTAATAATCATTAAAGACATCTAAATATGTGTTCTATAGTTATATTCTCTTTTTTTTTTTGTTCCTTAGAAAACTCTTGCTGTAATCATTGAACTTCTACGAAGGAAAGTTTTCTGCTCTATATCCTGTGCTTTTCTCTTCTTACCTTGAAGAGATTTTTCACATTAATAATAGTATCTTCCCTTGCTGTATATTTGTTTCTCATAGGTTCTTTAAAGCAAGAAAGCTTTTATTTTACCCATTATAGCGTACTCATGCTTTTGCCGTGAGCACGCTAATATCACCTTGGAATTGTATTTGTAGAGGAGAAAAAATGATGAGAAATTTTTGGCTATTACAAGCATCATAATGCATTTGTTGGATTCATGCAGTTATTCTAATTTACATAGTATAGATTGATTTGTTGGATCTAATGAAATATATATTATTTAGTTTAAGTATCTTGTTTCTAAAAGTGATTTAAATGCAGATTATGATTAATAATTTTATTTGAACGTTAAAATTGGGATTTTTGTTTTAACAATAAAATTTAAATATTTTGTGAAATTGATTCATGTTTTACTTGAAAGTTAAAAACTAACAAACTAACAGGTCAGGCCATGTCATTTATTTTTTTATAAATGAATCAAATCAGGCTAACAGTTAAACTCGTACTATGTTATCAAGCCAAGTCAAATTAAATTTGTTTTACATAGACTTGAGTTTTTCGAGACAAAGTTCAATCCACCTCGGCCCACTTTCATCCATAACCACACACTTGCACAACATGAATACAAACATGAGATCTTTATACTCATGTTATACTTATGTTAAAGATATGGAGTTTGCATTTGTCATTTAACATGACAGAACAAAATTTTCTCCACACACAACATTCTGTGGGATCCACACTTTTTGAAGAAAAAAAAATAAAACTACAACACGCCAAACGAATCTCTATAACATTACACAATCACTTTTCTTACAACATAACTCTTATAAAACCCTAAAGATATTCTATGTTTATGTCAAATTCAGTTTGACTCAAAACTGACTTGAAAAAAATTTATATCATATTCATATTGAAAGTATTTATACTTGAGTCAAATTGGTGTTTACCCGCTATTTGAATCGTTTAAATTAAATAACTATATAATTATATATTATCCCAGTCTTATTTATTAATTTAAAACCATCCATGTAACTTTTAGTCTAAAGAACAATTAAAAAATTATTCATGTTATATCCAACTGCAAAATAAACAAATATGTAGACGTTATTAGATTACTATTCATGTCAAATTTCGGCACGAACCCGACAACCTGAATTTTCAACCCAATTGATTTAACAGGATAAAAAATAACCAATGGATAGGATAGTTGAAAATAAACTCAGCCATCAACTATGGGATTATTAATTTGATAAACTTGGGACTCTTACAACTAATTTTATGTCTGATGCGACAGAAGATACCATTTGTATTATGTGATATATTGTGTAAAGGGATAAGATCAACTTACACCGGTGTAAGAATAATAAATCTTACACCAAATCTTTTAACCGTTGATTTCCGTTCATCCAATGGTTGGGATTTATTGAGAAATACAAATTAATTAATGAGTGAGACCTAATAAATCTTAACCATTAGATGCAGAAAATCAATGATTAAGATTTGATGTAAGACTTATTATTCTTACACCATTGTAAAATGATCATGCCCTCTGTTAAATATGATGTTTGAAATTGCAGCAAAATGATTTTGTTGCTGACTTATACATTAACTTATCACTGACTTTGATGAACAAATTTAAAAGCATACTTATGACTGATAATCCTAGGTTCTAGTTCAAGCATTTGTAAAATAATTTCACTATCACATACAAAGCCTAATTTTCAAGCTCGATGAAATCTTTTATCCTTGCGTTGCCATTCACCCTCTATGTCCTTTAGAATGTCTAGGACACCAAGAATACCCAGAAGGACGAGTCCACCTGACCACTTACCGCCACCTCCTCCGTTACCACCATTGCCATCATCGTCACGAGGTGGAAATCCAGGTCCATTGTCATCAATTTTAGGGGACTTCACTTTGTCTGCCATTTCAGAAAAAGGGAAAGGAAATTATATTTGTATAATGACATTGTGTAAATAATTAAGGCCAAAGGATGAAATGACATCTATATTAATATATTTTTTTATATAGGAAAAGAAATATGATTAAATAAGAAGGGGAAAATACAAGAGAGGATTAGGCATCAAAAGAAACCACAAAGATGAAGAAAAATAAAATAGAATCCCCCATAAGAAACCGCAAAACAAACACATCCCAAGGAGGAAACAGAAAAGGGAACCACCAAACTGCCCCTAAACACTCCAACGAAAGCCCCCCCCCCCCCCCCCCCCCCAAAAAAACACACACACCTGCAACAAAAGGGAAAAATGAATAAAAATACACAAAAGAACACTCTCTCTTGCCTTCAGCGAAGAAGACAGTTTCGGAACTTCAAAAGGAGAACCTGTTTAAGCCTTCTAAATCCTTTAGACCCTCCATAGTTGTTGCTAATCTTTGAAGTTCCTTTCCTAGCTTATTCTTTGCACTTTAGTTATTTGGCACGAAAGCTACCTTTACCTCCTTACCCAACGGATTAACCAGAAAGATCATGCCAATCACTTGCATGTATGATTATAATGGACAGTATTCAAGAAAAACATTATCTATGCACTTCACAGAACTGTCATATGGAAGAAACAAGAATTTGAGCGTCTATACCTTAAATCATTAAATATTCTTAATTCTTTTTCCTATAAAAAAACTCCAACATTCCCCGTAGATACAGTTATTTCAAATAAGACACGCAGATGGACATGGGAGGAGAAAGAGAGAAGAATGAAAACTAAATATACAAACAAATGAATGCATACATGATGACTAGGAGCAAATGGAAGAGGCTAACAAATAGAGAGGCGTTTACTTGTCCCACTGTACAACAAAATATGGAATTTAGTAATCTTAAGTGAGGCACAATGTATATTTTCTGCAACGGCGTTGTCTGGCATAAGTTCATACAGGAGAGAAGTTATTACCAGGAATAACAGTAATTGTCCGAGCATTGCGTGCTACCGTTTGGGTTGCACCAGCAGCAGTACATGTAGCATTCTGTAGAAAGAAGCACAATACATCAGTATATAGTAGATGATCAAACAATTTAGATCAGCACTTCTGTTATTGTCAATGGTACACCTCAAAATCAGAAGCATCAAGAGAAAATTCCAAGATTGGGACTGAAAGTAAAGACAAAATATCAACACAAAATCTACTTCCATGTTTCATGCTATAAAATCTCAGAAATACCTACAAGAAAAATCAATCTAACATGCAGGAAATCACTCAATTGCCTGCGTATGTGTATGTGAGAGGGAAGAGCAATGGTGAAAAGGGCAATGAGGGAATTGCAACTAATGAAAAATTATAAGATCATAAGGTACTGGAGGATTAGGTTAGAGAGAGAGAGAAGCATAACAGAACATAATTTTGGGTCAAGTCTGGGGGCCATTGGCCTGGATATGGGACAGCTCATTGCAGTCTGAGTATCTTTGCGCCTGTTTAATTGTGTTTTGATTTTTGTTTTTAAGAACTATTTTTTAAAATAGTTTATAGGGATTGCTTTTCAGAATAAAAGCAGAAAAAAATTTGTTTGCTAATATTATTTTGAGAAGAAGTATAGAAGTTAAAGAACCAAAAAGTCTGTTCAGTAAATTTGTTCTAAGGATATTATATGATCTTAGAGTAAAAAAAATAAAAAATTCATTTGACGAGTAAATTTTTTACTTCTTAAATTCATTTTATGATTTCTTGTTAACTGTTTTTTCCTTTTTTTAAAAATAACATGTTATATTTAGCTTTTTTGGTTTTAAATTAATTTTTTTTTTTTTTTTTTTTTTGTAATAAAATTAATTTTTTGTAAATTATGTATATCCTCTTTGACGGTGATCTTGGAGTAACGGTAAGGTTGCTTTTTGTAACCGAAAGGTCATGGGTTTCGGTTTGGAAAGCAGTCTCTTTGCAAAAATGTAAAGGTGAAACAAAGCACAATCAACCCTCATCCCTACCCTCGTAAGTCGGAGAGCCTTGCACCAGGATCTGCCCTTTATCTCCATTACACTATTAAAAAGTTTTTACTTTTAATATATATTTTATATTTAACATTAATTAGGTATATTTTTTCATAAATGTAAACATTTTTATCTTAATTTTGGTCTTCTTTAATTTATATTTTTTTACATTACACTGATACGAACCTTGGGAGAACCTCATCCAAAAAGCTAGCTCAAGAGATACGAGAATTCAATGTCTATATAAACCCCACATTAGTCACCCATATAACCAATGTGGGAGTCCAAGTCCCATACCTTGGATTAGGATCGTAACAAATACATAAGGACTCAATTATCAAAATAAGTAACTTGATAGATAGTTGTTTAAGCAGAGAATTGGGAGTATTACAATGACTGCATGTCACGAAGAGGTGAGGCTTTAAGGAGTTGTGGGAAGCCCATTTGTCTCAATGGTGCAGGTTTCTCTCACGTTGAAGGAAGTTGAATACAAATTTAAGGAAGAAAAGTTGAAAAGGAGTTATTTGGTTCTCAAAATACAACCAAATTTAAAAGGAGGATCCTGAGCTTGTTCACAATGGGGAAGCTGATACGAACCTTAGGAAAACCTCACCTCAAAAGCTAGTTCAAAAGGAAGGAAAGTTCAAAGTCCATATAAGCCCCACACCAGATCTCTTATGTTTCCGATATGGGACTCAAGTCTCATAACTAGAGTTGTGGCCCAATAAGTATGGCTCAATTGTTGAAAGAAGCAGTGATTTGAAATATAACAATTTACGATCAAATCTAAGTCCCAATAAAGCAGCAGATATAATTATGATTTGTTTGACAAGAAAAGAAAAGCAACACATTTGGCATGATTTGAGATCTAAGATTTGGGACGTGTTTTAAATGATTTAACTGTAATTATTTATTTATTTTTAGAAGTTAGTTACCGTTGTTAGAAATTTTCTTTATTTTTAGGATTTTTGAATTTTGAATTAATTTGTAATTAATTTATAAACAGTGCTTATGACCCTTATTCTAGGGGTTGAATTCTGTTATTTTGATAATTATAATTAAGAACCGGAGGGTTACTCTTTTAGAAAATCTCAACTTTTAGTTTAGCCACCTTTTCTATGCGCTTTCGGTATCACATTCCACCACGCTCCGCAGCCCCGACAATTACGCAGCCGGGCTTTGCACTAGTCTTTTACCAGCCCTGGGAGAAAACTGCAACGCCAGCGTCACTAGTCGCGCCACTCGATTGCAATGAGGAGACATAATGGAAGGCTCTGATACCAATTGATACAAACCATGAGAGAGTCTCACCACAAAAGCTAGCTCATAAGGTAGGAGAGCCCAAAGTCCATATAAATCCCATACCAGGCCCCTTATGTTTTCAATGTAGGACTCAAGTCTCATACCTTGCAATTGAATCATAACAGAAACACATCAGAGTCCCTTGAGATTCTTAAATACATCCATGAGACCTACAATTAATAATCTCTCTTATATTAATTGTGATTGCCATGTTGCCTGTTGGGGTTCTATTTGCAAGGTATGGGACTTGAGTCCCACATTGGTTGTATGGGCAACTAATGTGGGGTTTATAAGGCCTTGGGCACTCCCACCCTTTGAGCTAGCTTTTGGAGTGGTGCATCTCAAAGTCTCATCATTGCCCAAGTCAGAATCGCCAGTAAGTGAGAGTGGCTCTCACCACCAGTCAAAAGGGTGGTGCTGCCGAATCATTGTGGTATGGTGGTTTTCAGACAACAATAGTGGCAATTCACAAGAGGGAAGACGGGGTGGTCACGGAAACAAGGCAAAGGATTGGGAAATATCTCGTTTGCTCTTCAAACAACGCAAAGGATTGGGAAATATCTCGTATGCTCTTCATTGTTCAAACTCTAACACTGTAGGATTCATTGAAAATTACAGATTTATAAAACAATTTGTTCTCCTTGATTTTGTTGTTTTGAGAATAGAAAGTTAAATATCAGAACAAAAACACCTTAGAGGTGTGCTCTAATTCCTGTTCTAAAAAACTAAAATGCGTATGCTGTTCTTAGAATTATTTTCACAGAACACTCATTACCAAATAATTTTTTTATTTTTTTTTTGAAACTAAAAAACTGTTCTGTGAAACAGAAATCAAACTGGCCCTTTCTTTTTTTTCATCTATCTTCTTACTGTTTTCTGTATTTTCCAGAGAATTTCCTCTGTTGTAAGGAGCTGGGCTCCCTCTGTTGGATAAGTAATATTCGGTGATTACCAGTTTAACCATACCAACTTTTCCCTAAGGACTAATTATGCATTGCAATAATACAAAGTGCTGCTTAGTGCTTACGCTTTCCGATAAGGATTTAGCATCAAGACAACAAACAATCAACACATAACACATGGCCAAAAAATAAATAAATCTTACCAAAGCAGCAGCACATCTGATACGAGGTGATGGCCTTTGAAATATAGCAATCTGAAGTTCTCCTTTTCTGACGTTATATGGTAAGGGTTGCATCCCAACTATGTTTGGTCCATTATGCTTAACATGTGCTTGAGACTGACTTCTTTTACAACTAACTTCATAATAAAATAACAAAAAAAATTCCATGACTTAAGAAACTTCCGAGACACTTGTCTCACCACATTATGTTACTAAAACTAGCTCAAATATTGGGATGTATAAAACCAATGTACCTGGTAACAATAGAGGTGAAGTGCCAATACAGCTTTCCATTGTTGTCCACTTCTTGCTTATGACTAAATCCTAAAAATGCAAGTTGGTAGAAAAATGAGGCAAAAAACAAATTGTCAGTTTCAAACCGAATACTTATGATGAGCTGAGAGGTCGCTGTTGAACATAGGCATAGGCAAGTAGAAAAATACTGAGAGTTTTTCTTCAATTTATTTTACATGATAGTACATTTAGGCCATGCTTGAAAATTGAAACTAATTCCTTAAAATAATTCAGTTTAATTTTTTATTGAACTTTATAATTGAATTCTTATATTTGGACTTTGGATTCTTTTTTTTCTTTTTTTCTTTTTTAAGAATTGGATTGGATTTCTATGTTTAGACAGCAAATTAAATTGACAGAACTCTGCTTAATTAAAAATTTTACACCATATCTCCTTTTACCAGATAGTTTTACTCATTTGTCCTCTGTCAAAAGGATAAACAATGAGCAAGCAAATGGAGAGCTTTACAATTACAACTGATCAAGAAACACATTCTGACAAAAAAGGAATTGCTTATCTAACTGTTCCTCCATTAAAGAAGTTTCAAGTAACAAGTTCTATGAAAAAATAATATTAAAAATAGTAATGAACTACAATGTAGTTTTCTAAAGCCATCCTGGTGATGCCTTCAATGTAGAGTAAAAGCAACCAAATTTTCAGCTATAATAAAGCATCCCTATTCAGGTATTTTAAATTATCTGTTAGCTTCTGATGAAATAGAAGAAGGACTTGGCCAGGTAACTTTCGATATGAAATATTGTATTAAAAAGCCAAGCCCTAAGCATAGGGGCATAAAGGCCAACTTATGCTCCTTAAAGGTAGATATCCAGTTGAGCAACTTAATTCAAAATCAACAAGCAGGACACTCATTGCCATCGAACTATTAACGAACTGCTATTTTGTATTTGCAGCTTGATACATCATCATTAAGCAGTTGGCAATAGGTAAAATACTACTAACACCAATTTTTTATATGGAACTGGCAAGTGTCAATATAGAACTCAAATCCAAAACATAAACATAAAACAATAGCATATTGAGGTGCTTAAAAAAACTGAAACAGATCTCACAAATTTTTTGTCCATACCAAAAATTACTAACAGGAAAAACATCTATTCTCTCCTATGCTCAAAAGAAATCAGATATGCCCAGAATGAAATCTCAAAGAAAACACACAAAGCCTCACCATATCAAATTCAGCAAGAAATTATAGTGTGTTAACAGAGCAATGTTGAGATTTCGAGTTAAAGATGACTAGAAACCTGCAAGATACAGGTTAAGCACAGCAAGAAAATACAGTAAAAAATGTAATTTTAATGAGTAAACCTTCTCTGCACAGCAAGAATGAATCTTGCTCACAGAAAAGATAGCAGCATACTACAAGTCCCTCTTTCAAACAATCAAAACTCCAGAGAAAATATCCTCAGCCCTCTCCTCTCAGTCAACTAGAGAGTAACAACAATCCCCACTGTCCATTCCCCTTGAATATTTCCCTCCTTATCTACTAACCGACCTACTAGATCATACAACTCAGTTACAAGTATAAGTCAGTTGGGATATTACAAGTCAGATAGAGTATTCCCGTTTGTTAACAGCCCCACTCAGCCCAAATGGGTAAACTAGGGGTTCCCTAACAGAGACGTCAAAGAAATTCAACAAGATCCCCAATTTTACATTGAATAAGATCCAGTTTCCCCAATAACAACTATGGACAGTAACAGAGGAGAACACCAATTCAGTGGACATTGATCCTCTACTAGAAAGCTTTACGTAGGTGTGTGTATATAAGCGGGTGTGAGAAAGACTGAGGGGCATAGCAAGAAGTATTTGGAAGGCTCATCTTTACTTATAAAGTTAGTGCAACGACAGGATAAAATATTCTTTTTAAAACAAAATGAATTCCCAACTCCCAAATCATACCAAATATGATGGGATTTGAAAATTTTGCAAAACACCTTCACAATTTTCTAACAAATTGAATTAAAGACTACAAAGGAGGGCAACCTAGTGCTATAAAACTCCTCCTCTGGGCAGGGTCCAGCGAATGGCCAAACTCATTTTGTGGGTCTATAGTAGGCAATAGGCATTCTTACATTGCATTAGCAAGAGGCTGATTACATGATTCAAATTTTCTGCCTCTGGGTCACATGGCGACAACTCCAAATGTTGTGCCAAGTTAAAAGACTCCCAAACTAAATTCCAAATAAAATAAATTACAAAATGAGGATTGAATTCAAACTAACTTTCAATTTTCAGGTGTTCTAAACATAACCTTAAGGAAGAATTATCAAGCTTGGTGAATTTTTCCTTTCTTGACCTTTCTGGATATTGTGTTGTGGATATGGCCACTAAAAAAAAAAAAGTTGATGCAAACTAAAACATGAGAAAAATGTAGTTGCAATCAGTGGTCGCCAAAACTACGATTGCATTTGCATTGAAAAATCCACACGAAATAATTCAAACTTCATATCATAGTCGAACAACAAGCGAAAAGTTCCACAGAAGTGCAAGCCTAAGCCAAGGGAACCTCAAAGATAAGAGAGAAATTTCACACATCATAAAGTAATCGTATATTCACTTACTTTGAAACCAAAACATTCATAAAACACAAGAAGGACACAAGCAAACACTGAATTAAAAATAAATAAATAAAAAATTCCAATAATTTCAGGGATAGAATATTATCAAACAGAGCCTCGATTATTGAATAAAAATTTCGATAACAAATAAAAGGGAGCATTACCTGAGAATGAGAGATGACGGTGGTCGAAACAATGCCCTTGCACGGTTCTAATAGGCAATGTCATTTAACAGAAAGGAGAATGGCGGTGAATGGCTAACCGGGTTTGGATATTGGGCATGTTTTGTTAATCGGGTTGGGCTAAATTTTAAATTGGCAACTATTATGTTAGTTTTTTTCTACAAAAATTTCTCTAGTTTTATATTTTATATTTTATATAACGGAAAAATATTTCTTTTTGTAATTAGGGGTGTTTAAAATGTTCAAAAGAACTAAACCATTCCATAACCAAACTGCTCCACATTTTAAAAATCGGTTACTTTTAAAAACCGATTTCATATAAAATTACATTTTATTTTATAAATTGATTATTTACCAAACCATAAAAATAATTGATTATCGATGGTTATCCATAACCAAACTGCTCTACAATTAAAGAACAAATAAGTATTATTTTTTATTATGCCTATTATATTAGTAAATTGACTCAAACTTCCAAACAATAAACTAGCAGAAAAAGTTAAGCAACTTAAGTAGAAAACATTTATTTCAAAAAGAAAATTACACATAAATCGAAAGGTCGCATCCTAAGAAAGCATTTCTTAGTGGACTATGGTTGGATTGTATGATTGTATTTGATGTTTTGTATAAATGCATTCATATAGAGCTATTTGATAATATGATATGTTTTGTTCTGATGTGGTTTCTGTAATGATCTTTGGTCATTGATTGTACGTACACTGATGTCTGCTTGGGATCCTCCCTCGGGACTGACTGTGTACATCTCTAATATGTTCTGGTTTCGCTAGGGGTCATGCGGACCTTGAGATCGCCACCCCGAAAGCTAGCTCAAAGGGTGGGAGTGCCCAAGGCCTTATAAATCCCACATTAGCTTCTTATACAACCAATATGGGACTTGTAACATTGCCACCCCCTTTAAGGGACGACGTCTACGGCGGCTTTCACTCTATCGACACTGACCCGACGGTGGCCTTTTCCCCCCTTGGGGCGGCTTCACTCACCTATCAGTATTCAGTGCCCAAAGACACCTTAATCCAGCCTATAAGTAGCTCTTTCCATGGCTTCAACTCTCAATGAAAGCACCAATTGATACGGACCTTGAGATCACCAACCCAAAAGCTAGCTCAAAGGGTGGGAGTGCCCAAGGCCTTATAAACCCCACAGTAGCTTCCTATACAACCAATGTGGGACTCGTAACAGGATCCTCCCTTGGGAACACGTGCGTTGATTTCCGCTTGGGGTCCTCCCTTGGGAATGACTGCGTACGCCTCTGTAAGATATGTATATATGTTTTGTTCAGTTATGATATCTGTTATATGATGTTTTGTATACTCTGTATCTGACTCTCATGCAGGAGTGGTCCTAGGGGTATGGAGAATTCTTTATAAATCTGGAGCTTATTGAGATTTGTTATCTCACCCCTTTTGGGAACATCATTTCAGGTGTACTGTCTGCCAATGAGCATACACGGGGCAGGGACACGACTCGTGGAAAGAGTGCATTGCGGATCGGATTTTTGGGTAGCCGTACGCTACTATTATTTTTGAAGGATGGTTATTTGCATTAGTATTCCATTTATTTTGGTAGATCATGATGTCTGATCCGTTTCTTTGTATATGGCTTGTATATGTTTTGTACATGTTTTCCGTTTTGATGCATGTACATTTGTGTATTCAGGCATATCTATGTTATGAGGTAGTATTCAGTATATGTCTACATGTAGTTATGCATGCTGTTAGACATAGTGGCACAGAGCCAAATTATATATGAGCCCATGGATGGGTATGTGGCATGTGATGGATATATGATAGTTTGTAATCATGGATTATATAAACTGTTTATCAGGACACCTTGAGAGTGGGATTTGCAAATCCCCGTTTGTCCGATTTACAGACGTCACTCTGTCCGATTTTCGTCTCCGTCAAATGAAAATTAAACTAGAAGAAGCATTCAATGTGATATATCATGTGAAAAGGATTAAAGAAAAAGAAAAGTTAGCTCGTATTTTCGTAAGTTAAGTCTTCCGCTGTTTCTGTTTAGTATCATATATATGTTAATTAAACCGGCTCGAGACAAGAATGTTACATCTAGTCTATGGCTTGTAGTTCCATGACTTAATAAACTATTTATATTATGAGATTATTCAATTAGTTATTTATTGCAATTTACATACAGTCGATTTTTGAAAAAGAATAAGTAAATTCATATGGTTAGTATGATAATGTTCATAATTGGAAAAGCTGCGCTTATTACCATTTATATGTTTAATACACCGGGTGCATACGGAGTGTTACACAATCCAGTTACTGTACAGATATAACATAACATGATCCTTCAATCATTTTCATTTAAACATACACACATACATCATATCTGAGGAACCCATGAAAGTCATTCTACCATGCCCATGTTTAGTCCCTAACTGGTATGGTCCTTTCAAGAGATCCTGTGTCTCCTAAGTTGCTACCCTCATGGAGGTTATTCTACCATACCCATGGAAAGGTCATACATACCGACTCATGGAGGTTATTGCTTTGTAAATGTATCTATTCTTTAGAATATGGAGGTTTTGGGAGGCATAGAATGGGAAACAATCATTGGGTTCTTCTTTTCCGAGGCCAACTAAAGGTATGTTTCTGATTAAAACCGTGTATAGATTCATTTATTGTAAGTTGTTAAAAAGTATTTCTATTTAAGGATTATATCTCTTATTTAGGGATTGCATATTCTGTAATTGATTTAGATTTGATTTGTATTATTTTCCTTGATTACCTAGTTTCTTAATTTTCTTATTTTCTTAGTTTCTCAATAATAGATATTGTAAATTCCTAGTTTCCTTTTATTAGAGATGGTTTTTTGGTGGCTGCCTTTTTCTGTCTCACTCTTTTTCACTAACTCTTTTTCCCTTTACGAGGTTCTCTTGCTATAAAGGAAACTCCCTTTGTTAGACAAAATGGATAGAAGACATCTTTATGTATTGCTATAAAGGGTCTAACCTCTCTGGTTTCTTGCCAAAAGCAATGCCAATCCCACCTTCAGGGCCTTCTAGGAAGCACAACAACATTGGATTACAAAGCTCACTGGGGAAACCGTAGAGGGATATCTTGTTCCTTCTTTATCCTAGCCTCTAGTCTCTTATAGAAAATTTAAGGGTAACTTAAATGGTGCCTTAATTGTATTTTGTCGTTACTTTTTTGTTTTTTTGGTTTCCCCTCCTTTCTGGTTATTTTTAAGATCATTTTCATGGAACAAACAGTTTCAGCATTGGTTATTTTTTGTTCTAATTCTACTTCTTTGTCCGCAGCATCTTCTAATTCTTCTGTGGGTGGTTCTATTAGGAGAAAACCATTCAGAAGACTCTCGGGTCGTTATGAGTCTAGAATGGTGGTTGACCCTGTTCTGAGTTTCACCAAAGACCCTTCTATGAGAAGTAGCATTTGTTCTTGCCCTGACTGTGGTGAAATCTTCATGAAAGCTGAAAGCTTGGAGTACCATCAATCTGTTAAGCATGCAAGTATGTTTCTTTTTCATATCTTCCCTTCTTTTTTTATCACTAATATTTGCTCACTTATATAAACAACAACATCCCATTCTTTTGTTCAACAAAATCTTGATTTTTGTTTTTTGTTTGTGATGTTCTTAATTTGAGCTAGTTTATCTTCACTCTACCTCTATCAAATTCAAAGCATATAGATTTAGTTTCTCCTTATAAATGTTCCATTTTTTTAATCATCTCTAGTTTCAAATTTTCAACTCACCATAACTGAATATTTGCTTCATTACCTTTTTCTGATGATACAAATCTCAGTTTCTGAGCCTGGTCCTGAAGACACAAGCAAGAACATAGTAGAAATTATATTCCACTCGAGAAGAGGGCAATGTTTGTTTGCAGGGTGATAGCAGGGAGGGTGAAGAAGAATGCAGAAGGTGGAAACATGGAGGAGTATGATTCTGTTGATGGTTCTGTTGGGGCTTATGCAAATTTGGACGAGTTGTATGTTTCCAACCGTAGAGCTATATTGCCTTGTTTTGTTGTAATCTATAGAGGCTTTTGATTAGTGTTGTAATCTATAGAGGCTTTTGATTAGTGTTGTAATCTATAAGCTAAGTTGAACTACTTTACATGTCTGTGCTAGTTTGGTGCTTTGTATGTTGACTCAACCCGCTATTGTATATGACAACATTTACCTTTTGTTTATACTATCTGTACTCACAGTTGCGGCGGTGTGATGTTGCAGCTGCATGCAGTATGCAATTTAACCATAAACATACATGTTATTTATTTTATGCGTATTCTATGCTGTCATTGGTTAGTATCTTATTTTTAAAAAGTTTTACAGCAAATAATTGGGTGAGGATTAATTTTACACCGGCATAACAACTTTAAATTTTTAGTTATGTAAGCATAGTGAATCAATTACTGAAAACGAGTGTAACACTTCTTATACTTTTACTGTTACGAGAATAACTTGCCCCTAAATAATTATATTATTTTTGTAAGTGTATTTGCAGTGCGGAGTAGAGTAGAGTACAGAAAAATGATAAACAAACTCTGGCAGTCTATACATTCCAAGAAGTGATAAATGTTGTGGAAGTTGATGACCGAGAGAAACTTAAACATATTGTGGGAGTCTAAACCTCCAAAAAGTGCAGCATTTGTGGAGGTCTGGAACTTCCAGAAAGTATTTCAACAAATTGTGGTGCTGCACATAAAGACGCCACAAAATGTGTTGTGATGCACGCGAAATTGAAGGTTGATATGAATGCCACAAATATCTTTTGTAAGGGTCAAAGACCCCGTAATTATAAATATGACTCACAAAATAGCTAAATTTGTGTAGTGCATGAGCCTAAGTCATCGTCCATCAACTCAAGACCACCACCATTTTCATCATCTTAGAGTTACGAATTCTGCGCCTAGTGTATAGTTGTACACTCTAAGACTCCTACAGGTTCTTGGGTGAAGTTAGTCCCACTCATGTCCACAATTATTTGGCCACATGCCTTTATTATGTGCCTGTGGTGGGGTGGGACCTTCAAACGGATAAGAAATCATGAATCTGTGGTGTTCTATGGGATAAGGAATCAAATGGGAAAATTTTGTGGTCATTTTGCCATTTTCTGCAAACGTTATCAACATATATATTACACGAGAAAAATGTCTGTTATTTTAAAAAAAATGTAAAGTTAGAAATTTTTTAATATGGTTGAGGACCATCATAGTCATTCTATTAAAAAATTGACACCTGAATTAATTTTTTTTCCCCTCTCTTCTCAACCTTTTCTCTCATCTGAGTCTCACCAAATTTTTTTTACTTCCGGAGCACACTAATTTCGCTCGTAGAGTTGTATCATTTTGAGTGAGAGAAAGAGATAAATAAAAAAAGAAAAAGAAAAAAAAATAAAGATGTGAATCTCACCTCTTTATAAAAGTAAAATAACATAAATTATACACTTTTCTCATATTACGTATTCCGGTAGGTATTGGTCATAAATCGCATGCCTGAATCTCACCTTACGTCATTTTGGACAATATCGAGAATATGCAGTTTGTTTCTAAATAATTGTTAAATACTTTTACCTTACCGTTGACCAATTGTTTATGGTTTCCTATATTATAAAATGCTTCTAGTTTAAATGGTCCATTTCTAATTTTCGTTTTTTCTTCTCAAAGATATGCATAGGTTACGGCAAATTTAATATATTGCCCTGTTGTTATGTGTGTGATAATATTTCTATTCTTCAAAATAGCTTATAGATTAACTTTATTTGACACTAGATATTACAATCATGCTTTTGGGGCCAATGTGGTACTTGAACAGTGAGAAAGAAAATAAAAAGGATATCTCATATGATACCACGTGATTCTAATCCAGTTTTGAATCCAATTTTTGATTTATTTTAACTTTATAAGATAATATAATTGAGCTATAATAGATTTTGATTCATGGTTCAGTACCTTATCAATTTTCTTCCTAAGGGTCTTTTCTTAGATTATTTAAATACTTGATTCTAGGTTCGGCACCTTACAAATTTTGCATACGTGATAGGTTAGGATTCTACACACTACAGTGTGTTATTGTTCTTCACTGTATGTTATCAAAACTTAATTAACATGCTGCCAAAGTTAACAAGTTATTGCTGCTAGAGTTTCATATACTCTATCCTATCAAGAGCTAAATATACTGTTGTAGTCAAATATTTGACAAGCTGTTAATTCACTGTGAAAAAATTAATATTGTGTCTGCTGTTGTACGCTGTAAAGCTGTTTGTTTGCTGTTAATATTTAATTTACTGTATGCTATAATCACATAGTATGTTTGATTAATGCTGTCTTAAGTAGACTTGTTGTCCTAGTTATAATTGCCGCATAAGAAAAAGTCCACCAAGGTGCTAGCCTTTCGAATTAATTAACTAACGTAAATAACACTTCATGTACAACACGAGAAACCCAAAGAAAAAAAAAGATAAATAATTGGATTGTTTTGAGTTTTTTTTTGTTTTTTTAGCTTGCATATAGATTTTGTTTTTGGTTTTAATTTAAGTCATCAATTCTTCGTATTTTCCTTTTATATTTTGTTGCTTTTGAGTCATCAATTCCTTGTTTATGTTTTTAGATTCCTTGGATCGAGTTTTCTTTGCCTTGATTCTTCTTATTTTCCAGCTCATACAACACCAAAAAGCCGAACAGAGTTGTTTCATATTGTTTGCCTTTCGGTCTTATCCCACGTGAAGGAACTACCATCAATTATTGGTTCTTTTGTCTAGTGTTGGAAATTATTGGTGGCACTCGTAATTGCTTTATCTTTTCTTTTTATTGTTTTGTACTTTTTCTCAAAATACAATTATATTACAGTTTTTCTAGGAAGAAGCCATGATATAGGCATATATCTGTAGCGTCTCCTTTCCCATTTTATCGTTATTCTTGAAAACCATAGGAAAGTGATTAAGAGTGTGTTTGGATCCTTTTATTTTTAAACTAGAAGTTATTTATAAGCTAAACCTAAAAAAAAAGTTAAAAAATTACATAAAAAATTTAGTTTAAAAATTATTTAAAAACACGTATTTCAAAAAAATTATCTCTCTATCTTTATCACTCTTCATTTTAAAAAAACACATAATTCAAAAAAAAAAAACAGATACTAGCTTAAAAATTTAATTTTTTTTCTTCGTTATAAAAAAAAAACTTTTTAGCTTTTTTTCAAAAAGCCTAACTTATACTTATAATAGAAAAGAGGATGCAAATAGTCACTGAGCCAATCCGTACTTGTTTACAATTAATTACGTTAGAGTTTTGCTTTTAGTTTCAAACAAAAACAAAAAGAAAAGAGCGTTGCAGATTGTTTGTAAGGTTTCTATTCTGCTTTAAAGTTAGTTGTTTCTCATGTCGATCGTACAACCCTAAAAATCAAGTTCCAGAGCGTTTCTATGTTGTTGATTGTTTGTCTTTTACTTTGAGTCTTTAAATTTTCCTTTGAGATTTGTTGTTCTGATTCCCAGTTAGAATATCTTATTTTGGAGCTCATAAAACCCAGAAAATCCGACCAAAAAAATCTAAAAGAAAAATGAAGAAAATGTTTCATATTGTTTGCTTTTTGGTTTGAGTGTTCTTTGGCTTATAAGATTCCAGTTATTTTCGAGCTCATATAACATCTCAAAACCGAAAAAGAAAAAGAAACAAAGAACTGTTGGGCTGATACCTGGTGAAGGAACTACCATCAATTTCAGTATTCACTCTCTTCATTTGAAGTATTGGATTGGAGTTTCCTCAACAAGAGAGGTACGCATTTGTTCTCTTTTTTTTCTTTTTTTGATATATTTCAATTCGTACATCACTTTGGGGTTAATCCTTTTTGAAATAGCTATCACGATTAAGGTTTTAAATTTAGAGAAAAATATTTATCTTTGTGATTTTATATGTTAACTGTTAATTTCTATCGATCAACGATTATAATTTATTGGGTCAAAATTATTAATTAATTAATAATTTACACTAAATTTGTAATAAATCCTAATCATTACTTAACAGAAATCAACGGTTAGATCTAAAATGATAAAATTATATCTTTGATAAAGACAAATATTTTTCCCGTCTACCCAAGTACAGTACTAAAAAAGATCAAATACATACTCTAATACATACTCTACCCAAGTACAGTACTAAAAAAGATCAAATACATACTCTTATTCCTACCTGCTTAGATATTTTCAACCTCTTGCAGCTCAAAATTGCTATCAATGCTTACCGGTCTATATTTAAAAAAAAAAATTATTTATATTATTATTATTATTATTTGATGCAGATTATTTGGGTTATTTACATCACTCTATTTGTTAAAAAAACATACCGTCAATATTGCCAAAAACCCAACTACACGTGAATCTGCTTAGTTGCTCGTTTCATATATGTAAGAGTTTTTGTTTTTTTTTTTTTTTGAAAATTCTAGAGGTTTTTGCTATTTAATGATTTATAACAGTTTGGAAATAATTACCGAAAATAAACGTTTTTATTAAGCTTTTTTGTGATATTTTTAGTTTACAACAGTTTGAGTCCTAAAATTAGTTCATCTAAATATGCTATTAATATTTTTATTCGGTATGTTTTGTCAGCAGTTAATCTTGATCTGACCTTAAAAAATTTAAAACAAATAATATACATATATCCATAATAATAATAATAATAATAATCTTTTAATTGGCATGTTTAATTTATTTATTTTTTACTTGTTTCTTTTATCTAGATTATTTTCTGGATTAAGTATATATGTTTATTAGCTTTATTGCTTTGTTTGAATTATTCCAGTTTTAAACCAGATTCTTGTTTTAATCAAAATGAAACGAATCACAACTTTTAAAAAATTGCATGATTTTGAATTTCCTATTCTTTAGCAATTCAAATTGTGTGTTTTTTTTTTTTAATATAGTCTTTTTGATTTGTTTGGTAGATTAGTCTATTTTGTTCTTTTTATTATCTTGTAACTTGTAAATATTTTAATTCATATACAATCTTTACTTTTTACTTTACTTGTAAAAATTGTGATTTCATTAATGATTACTGAGTAATTTTTATTTAAACTTTTTTATATTTATTTTATGAGATAACTTAATGTTTTCAAAATAGTTTAAAATGTAAATCCTAGGTTGATTTCAAGTGATTGTAGTGAAATTCAATTTTCTCCAATTTTCTATTAATAAACATACTCCCAAGTTTAGCTTTGTTTTCTCATAACGGGTTCTAAATTTTCAAAGAAGTTTTTAATTTCGTTCTGGTCAAATAAAGTAAGTGATATTGAGTTCAAATTTGAATTATGAATTTAAATTCAGGTAGTCTTTTTAAAGGATCCACTTCATTAAGTTGCTACTGTTTTTGATCCTTCGACTATCTTATCTTCGAGCATAAATTCAAACTGATTATCCTTGTTTCGAGTTTCAAGGTAATGTGTTTTCAACATGAGTGTATAAAATGCTTCTCTTGTCTTTTCCTCATCCAAAATAATGTTTATTGCTTTCAGTCTTAATGGATATTCTCATTTCCATTGCTGGAAAAGTAGCGGAGTATACTGTTGAACCTATTGGACGACAAGCAGGTTATTTAATATTCTACAAGGACAATTTCAAGAAGCTAGATGATCAAGTCAAGGAGCTCGAGGATACAAGAGTAAGATTGAACCACTCGGTTGAAGACGAAAGAAGAAATGGAAAAGAAATAGAAAGAGATGTGCAGAACTGGCTGGAGAAGGTGAATGAGGTCATTGAAGAGGCAAATCAGCTTCAGAAAGATCCTGGTCGTGCAAGGGTGGGGTGCTCTGGATGGTCATTCCCCAATTTGATTTTACGACATAAACTTAGTAGGAAAGCTTCAAAGATAGAAAATGAGGTTGTTGAGGTACAGGGAAAAGGGAAATTCAGTCGAGTTGGTTACCTTCCTCCTCTGGATGGAGTAGGTTCAACTTCAAGCACAGGTGGTAACGAAAAGCTTGAGACAAGAGAGTCAATTAAGGAGGACATTATGCACGCTCTTAGAGACCCTAAAGTACACAACATTGGGGTCTATGGGCTAGGCGGTATGGGTAAGACCTATATGGTGATGGAAGTTGCTCAAATAGCCACACAAGACAAATTGTTTGATAAAGTAGTTATGGCCAATGTATCTAAAACTCCAGACCTTAGAACAATTCAAGGGGAGATTGCGGATTTGTTGGGTTTTCGATTTTATGAGGAGACTGTTGTTGGTAGGGCATCCCGCTTAAGGCAGAGAATTAAAGCAGAGAAAACTATCCTTGTCATTCTTGATGATATTTGGACCAAACTTGATTTGAAGAAAGTGGGAATTCCTTCTGAGGATGAACATAATGCTTGTAAGCTATTGATGACTTCTAGAAATCAGGATGTGTTGGTCGAAATGGATGCTAAACCGAATTTCAAAGTTGACGTTTTGAATGAAGCAGAAACATGGAAGTTATTTCGATTCATGGCTGGGGATGTAGTTAAGGATATCAATTTACATGATATAGCAACTCAAGTGGCAAAAAAATGTGCAGGTTTTCCTCTTCGGCTGGTAACGGTAGCACGAGCATTGAAAAATAAAGATATTCATGCTTGGAATGATGCATTAAGGCAACTAAAAAGTGTTGATCATTGGGAGGTGGATGCAATGACTTACTCTGCTTTGGAGTTGAGTTACAAATCATTGGAGAGCGATGAAATGCAGGTACTCTTACTTTTTGCTGTACTGGATTCCTCCAGTGTGGAGTACTTATTGAAAGTTGCAATGGGTTTGGATATATTCAAGCCTATAAACACTGTGAAAGATGCAAGACATAGATTTTATAAAATAATTGGATCCTTGAAGGCATCTTGCCTATTGTTTGAAGATAACACACGTGAGCATATCCAAATGCATGACCTTGTTCGTGAAGTAGCTATCTACATAGCTTCAAGAGATCAATATGTATTTTTTGTGCAACCGAAGACTGAGTTGAAATGGCCAATAAAGAATTTTCTAGAAAGGTGCACACAGATCATCTTAGATAATTGTCATATTCATGAGCTTCCTCAAAGGTTAGATTGTCCTAACGTGAAGCTTTTTAGCTTGGATAGTGCTAATCGTTCTTTAGAAATCCCAAATCCTTTTTTTGAGGGAATGGGAAGCCTCAAAGTGTTAGATTTAACATGGTTGAACTTGTCTTTGTTACCCACTTCTTTTCAGTCCCTAACTAGGCTTCAAACATTGTGTTTGGATCAATGCATTTTGGAAAATATGAATCAAATTGGAGCTTTGAAAAATTTAGAAATTTTTAGCCTTTGGAAATCTTCGATGACGAAATTGCCAAGAGAAATAGGGCAATTGACTCATCTAAGAAAGCTTGATTTAAGCTATTCTGGTATTGAAGTCTTCCCACCCAACATCATATCAAGCTTGACTAATTTGGAGGAGTTGTGCTTGGGAAATACATCCATTAAGTGGGAGGTTGAGAATTCAGCTAACCAAAATGAAAATGCTAGCCTTGCTGAGCTTCGACAATTGTCTAACTTGACTGCTCTAGAATTACAAATTCGCGAGGCTTCGATTTTGCCAAAGGAATTGATATTTGAGAAGGTAGAACGATATAAAATTGTTATCGGAGATGTATGGGAATGGTATGACATTAGGAATGTAAGCTTGAAAACATTGAAACTCAAACTTGGTACCAATATACATTTAGAGCCCGGGATTAAAGCATTGATTAAAAGGGCTGAGAATTTGTACTTGGATGATGTAGTTGGAATTTCAAATGTTCTTTATCAAATGAATAGGGAAGGATTTCCATTGTTGAAACATCTCCATATCCAAAATAATGCTAAAATGATGCACATTGTTGACTCAATGGGTAGGAATCAAGTGAAGGTTTCGTTTCTCAACTTGGAAACATTGGTACTTCAGAATCTTAAAAACATGGAGAAGATATGTCATGGCCCACTTGCAGTTAATTCTTTTGGCAAGCTTAGAATCATCAAAGTTAAAAATTGTGTCCAATTAAAATATCTTCTCTCCTTTTCAATGGTGGAAGGACTTTCCCAACTTTCAGAGATTGAAGTTTGTCAATGCAATTCTATGAAGAAGATAGTGCTTGTAGATTGCGATGCAAGCGCAGATAAAAATAAAATTGAGTTTCTTTCACTGCGTTCTTTGACTTTACAACATTTGCAAACTCTTGATAATTTCTTCTCTTATGAATTGACCTCCTCCATAACCAAGCATCAATGGTTGCAGACTAGTGTTCCTGTATCGTTTTTTAGTTCCCAGGTATGTTCTTTTGCTCTTATTCTTGTTTCGATGCATATGATAGTATTTTAAATTTATGACATGCATATTATCAAATAAATAATATACATATCCCCTAAGAATAACTTTACACGCAATTATCAAATAATTTTTAGCTTTATTTTTTAAGCACTTTATTTAACTTTAATTTAAAAGTAGATTTTAATTTAACAAAAAGAAGTACCAAATTAAGAGGCTAGCGCTACATTATTATTTTGAAGAAAAAAAATCCTAAGATTATACCATTGCAAAAAAAAAATTGTAGAAATAATGAAATTTTTAAAATAAACTCATAAGTCACTAGTCCAATCTTATCTATTAAATTAAATTAAATTATGAATTACTTAATTTCATATTTTATCCCCCAAAAATTGTTCATCTTCTCTTCTTTTTACAAAATATACATTTACATTGACGACAGGAACTGGTCATCTCGTCTTCATTTGCTTTGGTTAGATCAAGCGACAAGGATTAGAAAAACCCGAATTCTTGTACATAAGTTTTGTACCAACTTTTTGGTGGGTTAGGTCGGATTGACTCTGGGGACCAAACCTACATTAATAGTTATTGGAAACTTGGACCTAATTTAAGATTTACGAATGATATATGGATTTCAAAAATTTGTTGTTCAATTCTTGTTGTTTCAATTTTTTTAATTATATCTTTAAAGTTTCAAGACTTTTTATTATTACTAAGCTTTCTGAATCTAATCCATAGGAATACAAATAGAATTTTTTAAAACTATAGGGACCATTTGCAAACTCTTAATTGCAAAGACGTATTGCAAACTCTTCAGCCACTCCTTGCCTTAGGGGTGGTTGTCAATTTCTTTCTGTATTTTAGAATTTCTTCATGCATAAAAAAAAAAAGCCTAAATAATATTAATAAGATAAAAATATTTACCATAATAAGTCTGGTAAAAATAGAAAAGTAGCCTATGGGAGCTTATGTCTTTTAAAATCATGGTTTATATTTGATGTTGAGGGAAAGGATGTTCGGTGAATCATATTATTATTAACAAAATCATGCATGGTTTTATATTCGATGATGAATATTAGATAATTAATAGAGCTATAAGTGTAAAATTTCTTAGTACTATCATTCAATGATATGTTTACGACATCAATAAATATACTTGACTATGATAATAGCTACTTGAAAACTCAAACCATGTTAATAGTAATAATGAACCAAAGGATCAATTTTTATATTTTAGAAAATTGGAGAATTTTTCATCAAAATATAAACATATGAAATGTCTACGCATTTTTTTCCTTTTTAATTTGATAAGTAAATCCTTATATCTACAAGAAATAGTTAATATAACTATTTTAATCTTTTTGGGTTTTTAATGAATAATTATGGATGTAACATTATACAATGCCAAGAAAGCATGTATAAATATTGGAATGGGTAATGCTTATCATAACTATCCCAATAGCCTGTCAATTAAGATTTTTGTTAATTTGTTTATATGTAGGTTGCATTCCCTAATTTGGATACCCTTAAGTTGAGCTCACTCAATTTGAACAAAATTTGGGATGACAGTCAGCATTCTGTTTCCAAATTGTCAAACTTGATTGTGGAGAATTGTGGTGGACTAAAGTACTTGTTCTCATCTACCGTGGTTGGAAGTTTTATTAATCTCAAACGGCTTGAAATTAGTAAATGTCATTTGATAGATGAGATAATAGCCACTAGAGAGAGAAACAATGGTACTGCTTGTGCTTCACTCAATGAGGTATGGTAATTCTACCATTTGGAACAATATTACAATTGTGAACTTGCATTTATATAAATATTTATCATTGATACAAATTAATTATTTATGATTTCATAAATTGTGAATCATAGGTTCGATTCTCCAAACTGGAGACAATCATATTGAAGGACATGGAAAGCTTGGAGACGATATGGCACTGCCAATTTGAAACAGTGAAGACGTTGCAAGTCAGAAACTGCAATAAAATTGTAGTGGTTTTTCCTTCTTCAATCCAGGAAACATACCATAACTTAGAGATGCTAGCGGTTACAGATTGTGCTTTAGTGGAAGAGATATTTGAATTGACTTCGAATGAAAAGAGCAGTATAGAGGATGGAACACAACTGAAAAGCATTACTTTAGAAGAATTGCCAAAGCTGAAAAGGACATGGAGTAGGGATCCTGAAGGAATTTTTCATTTTCATAATCTAGAAAACGTATATCTAAAAAGTTGTGGAAGCTTGGACTATCTATTTCCATTTTCTGTTGCCACTCACTGCTCACTTCTCAAAGAACTTTTTATAATGTGGTGTGGGAACATGAAGGAAATTGTTGCAGAGAAGGAAGGATCCATGTGCACAACTCCCCTATTTGAGTTTCATGAACTAAATAGTCTATTGCTTTGGGGCTTACACAAACTCAAGGGTTTCTATGCTGGAAGTTATACTTTAGCATGTCCATCTTTGAGAAAAATAGATGTTTTTAGGTGTGCAAAATTGAATTTATACAAGACTCTGTCCACAAATACTGATGGAAGGTTTCTAGATGGTAAACTCCCTGTTACTGTGCAGCAGTCACTTTTCAGAGTCGAAGAGGTATATATCATTTAAAATTGCATGAAAACTACATTACGTTGGATTTTTGCTTTTATCATGAAATTCCAAAAAATATGGCTATATCCAACCGTTGCATATTGGCACTGTTTAAGACAAAACCTATAAGCTACCATGAAATAGTAGTAGATTGGAAATTAATTGGCTCAATGGATCTGCTAGTTTTCACAATTGTAGAAAACTGGAATTTTAATACTCCAGTTACTTTTGAAAATTAGGTTAATAACAATATTTCAAATTCCTAGAAAGTATTAAATTGCTAAATGTGATCACAAAAAATTAAGAGGAAAAATATTAGGATTTTTTTAATATGGGAATTTATTTAAATTACACCACGCTGCATTTAAGTTTTTTAATATTGGTTTTGGCAAAGAGAGGTATTAAGCATATATTCAAAAAAAAATTATATTATTTGTGGTAAAACTTCATTATTATTTTTTTATCCGAAAAAAAGAATTATGCTTTTTTATTTTTTTCAAAAACCATATGTGCAAAAATATGATCACAAAAAATTGAGAACTTTTGTTCTTTAGTAGGCAATTGAGAACTTTTTATATCTGGAGTGATTTGAATATCATACTTTATGAGAGGTATGTAGACAAGCATAAATGGTTTTAGATGAAACTGAGGACTGGACACTGGTAATGACAAAAATAAAATAAAATGGAAAGTACAATGGCAGCATAGACTACTTTGAGTCAACTGTAAATATTCTTTTCTTTTCCTTTTGTATAAAAAGTAAATATTAATTTATTGTAAATTGTTCTTCATTTATGTTTTAGATGATTCCAAACTTGGAGAAGTTGAGAATAAGCTACAGGGACGCTAACATGATACTGCAAGCCCAAAATTTAGGTGCCCTCTTCACCAAATTGAAATATCTTGGGCTCACCGATTGTAGGGACGAAGAGCCTTCTTTTCCTGATTGGTTTCTCCAAAATGTGTGTACCCTTGAGGAGCTCGTTGTTGGATGTAGTTCCTACAAAAAGATATTTCAAGATGAAAGACTAGTAAGTGAAAAAACTTACCCACGGCTCAAAAGGTTGACACTGTATCAATTACCTAAACTTCAACATATCTGTGAAGAAGGATCCCAAATTGACCCAGTTCTTCAGGTTCTTGAATACTTAGATGTTGATGAATGTCATAATTTGACAAACTTGCTACCTTCCTCTGTTACTTTTAGTCACTTGACGTATTTGGAGATAACAAAGTGCAGTGGGTTGATAAATTTAATCACATCTCCTACGGCGAGAAGCTTAGTCAAACTGACAACATTGAAGGTAAAAGAGTGTAATTCACTTGAAGAAATAATAATAGGAAAGAGAGAAGAATATGACATTGTATTTATTAGTTTGGAAATATTGATGTTGGAAAGTTTGCCAAATCTTAACAAATTTTGCTCTAGTAAGTGCTTTTTGAGGTTTCCATTGCTGGAACAAGTAGTTGTGAGAGAATGTCCTCGCTTGAAGATTTTCTCTGTGGAAAATACAAGCACACCAAATCTTCGAAAAGTGAATGTGGCAAAAAATGATGAAGAATGGCATTGGAATGAGAACTTAAATGATACGATAAAGAAAATGTTTGAAGATAAGGTATCCTTTGATTTTGCAATTGATTTCCTATGTAATAATAAATCAATGCATTAGTTTTATTTAAACTAACCAAATAGATTTTTTTTCACAGGTGGCATTTTGTAGTTTCATGCATTTGAACTTATCTGAATATCCTGAGCTGAAAGAGTTATGGTATGGCCATCCTCAATGCAATGTATTCAGCAGTTTGACGTCTTTAGTGGTTCATAAATGTGATTTTTTATTGGATGTACTCTTTCAACCAAATTTACTGAATGTGCTTTCGAACTTGGAAGAACTAGATGTAAAAGATTGTAGTTCATTAGAAGCTGTGTTTGATGTGAAAGCTGAATTTGCTACAGAAATTTTAGTGAAGAATTCCACACTGTTGAAAAAGTTAACACTATCTAATCTTCCTAAACTGAAGCATGTGTGGAAGGAAGATCCCCATGGAACTGTTAGCTTTCAGAATTTGTGTGAAGTATCTATTATAGAATGCAAAATCTTAACAAGTCTCTTTCCACTCTCAATAGCGAGAGATATCAAAAACCTTCAAGATCTTCAAGTAACTGACTGTGGGGTTGAAGAAATTATTGGCAAGGAAGAAGGAGATGAGGAGATAATTAAATTTGAGTTCCCTCATTTGACATCCCTTCAACTTAAGCATTTGCCTAAACTCAAGGCTTTCTTTTCTGGGATCCATTCTCTACAATGTAAATCCTTGAAAATAATAAAGGTGTTCACGTGTCCAAAGTTGGAGCTATTTAAGACACAGCCTATGGGCTACCCAGAAAGAACTACAGATGACAAACTCTGTCTCTCAACTTATCAACCTCTTTTCACAATTGAAGAGGTATGGGTAGTGCAAAATTTTATACTTGCTGTAGTGAATAATTCTTGCACACTCTAGTCTTTTTTTTTTTTTTCATTAGAGAATTTTTTAAAAATATTTACCCTTGCAAAAATTCCGTTGTCTCCATTTGGCGAGAAAAACAATTCTTTTTTCAGTTGGGCAGATTGGTCATTTACATTTTGTTGATATTCTATGTAGTACTATGTATATATATTCTTTTGTTGAGAACAGTGAAGGAAAATATAGATTTCTTCAGTTCTAATTTTGGTTATTCAACAGGTACTTCCTAATGCAGAGAGGTTGATGCTGAATAACAAAGATTTTGACATCTTATTGCACAACCAATATTCAGGGAAGCTATTCAGCAAACTTAAATCTATTTGGGTGTCCGAATTCACTTATGAAGAAGCTCCTTTTCCGTATTGGTTTCTAAAAAATGTACCAAATTTGGAAGAGCTAGCGGTTCAATGGAGTTCCTTCACAGAGATATTCCAAGACGAACCACTTATAGGTGAGGAAAGACAAATCAAAATTAGCACAAGGCCTAAAAAGTTGACATTATGGGAACTCAATAAACTTCAACATATATGCAAGGAAGGATTCCAAATTGACCCCGTTCTTCAATGTCTTGAAAGCATACATGTTTTCCAATGTTCCAGTCTGATAAATTTGGTGCCTTCCTCTGTTACCTTTAATTACTTGACTAATTTGGAGATCACAAACTGCATTGGGCTCATAAATTTGATAGCATGCTCAACAGCAAAGAGTCTGGTCAAGCTCACAACAATGAAGATTAAAGGGTGCGATTTATTAGAGGATGTAGTGAGTGGAAAAGAAGATGAGACAAACAATGAGATTGCATTTTTCAATTTGCAAACTCTGGAACTTATTTGTTTAGCAAGTCTCCGCAAGTTTTGCTCATGTAAGTGCTTCATTAAGTTTCCATTGTTGGAAAAAGTTATTGTAAAAGAATGTCCTCGAATGGAGATTTTTTCTTTGGAAGACACCAGCACACCAGATCTTCAAGAAGTACAAACTGAGGAAAATGACGAAAAATCTCGTTGGGATGGTGACCTGAATGAAACAATAAAGAATATGTTTAAAGATAAGCTAAGGTATGTGTTGATCCGCCAATTCATTTGATTTTCATTCATTTAAGACGATTACTATTCTGCTTGTGTGTGTAGAAATTATAGTAATGGTCTATGATCAACATGCATGATTAAATATCGCTTGAAAATACTTTTGATTTGTCTCTTAATATATTAATTTTATATAACAGGTTGCATGTTACAGATTCCAACATTTGAACCTGTCTGAATACCCAGAGCTATAGTATTTGAGGTATGGCCAATTGTATCACTATATGTTTTGCAACTTGAAATTTTTAGTGTTGCCCAGATGTGATTTTTTATCATATGGTATTTTTTCATCAAGCGTACTGCAAATGCTCATGGACTGGAAGAGCTAGCAGTGAGAAACGGTTTCATTAGAAACAATATTTGATGTGAAAGGTCTAAGTCTAGAGAAATATTGGTGTAACATGTGAACATAGTATTGAGTTTCTAACATTCACTGTGCCAGGGTCTTGGGAATCTAGTAATGCTTAAGATAGTGTCTTCAGGAGTTGAGGAAATTGTTGCAATGGAAGAAGAGTCAACAAAAAATGCTGAAGAGATGTATTTTTTATCAGATGATCTTTTTAAATATGTTAACTGTGTATGTTGTTAAAAATATATATATATATATCTCCATTCTTCCTTATTATTTTAAATCTATGACTTTCAACAAGAGATAAACCCACAAAGGTTTGGGTAACCTTCGAATTAAAATATTGGGACAAACCCCCAAAGGTAACAATATGTCCCTAGATCAAGTGGTTTTAGGTAAGTATGGCAAGGGGAATCCCATGTCCTGATTTTGAGCTCAGTCCACATACAAGCCTCACACAAATAATTGCCCCCCAAACATTCGAGCTAATTAAAATAAAATATATATGAGTGTTGCCCCCAAAGGTTCAGGCTAATGAAAAGGGAACAGAAATGGTGCCATGAGTAAATATTTTAGTATTTATTTTTTGTGAAGGAATTAAAATTTATTCTTGGTGAGGTGTTTGTGAAGGAATCAAAATTTATTATTGGTGAGGTGCAATAATGTACAATCTTTAAATACATGATTTTTGTGATTGAAATTAAGTCAAGGTATAGAAGGGTAGAATTCTCTATTCTGGTATTGCTGAATCGGGTTGTAGCTCAAAACCTCAAAAGTTAGTGGGATTTATTCTAATTTTACATTCCTTTGACATGTCTAAGCCATACAGGAAGGAGGACTTAAGGGCGCGTAAGAGATGATGCTGTTTTTGCTGCTGGATGAGACTTTATATCTAAGGTTATAATAGAAGGCCACTTGTAAATATATTTGTAATTAGAATTTCATGTTCCCCTGATTTGTCATCTATAAGCAGGTGACAAAATCAGGTGATCTAGTGTGTACTTATGTAAGCCAATGTGCATTGGCGCTTATGTTAGAACAATGTAAGCCACTTTGATGTACCACCAAATCTTAATGTGATATATGTACGATAAGCAACTTCTTACTGACGTATATGTTAGTTATGTGTAAGTGTAATAATTTCTGCAGCAATTAAGGGTATTAAATGATGAATGAAGAGAAACGAAAATGGGGGATTTGGCTGCTGACAAGAGAGGGACTATGAAAAACAGGAAGCTGCTCGCTCAGTGGGGTGAAGAGGCAGAGAAGGGGAAACTTTCTTCCAAGCTCTTTCGGACTCCAAAGTAAATTTCTCATCATTTTTTTAAGAGTAAATACATTTTTGTGTATCCAACAAAAAACACTAAATCTATTTTAATCCTTTAGAAGAAAAATAAAATCGACTTGTCTGAAATTTCAATTCTTTGAAACTGTCATTCTTTTAAAATTCAAAGAAGAGCCACCCTCAAAAAAGATTAATATGATTATTTTTTTTCTAAGAGATTAAAATGAGTACCGTAATTTTTGTTGAGGAACTAAAGGATATTTACTCTTTTTTAATTGTTCGTACTTAGTGCCTCTGTCTCTACTTGATGTGAAAATGCACTTTGTGATACAGCTTTTTTGAGTGTCGTATAATTGATGAATATGTGTGTCTCGACTTTCTGTCAACCACACTCTCGATTCCTCCAAAACAGAGCCACCACTCTCTAGCCAATTTCTTTCAACCAAAGAATCGAACACCTTGAGGTCACACCATTGTAAATTCACACATAAGCCATAAAGATCTCCCACACATTACCATCAAGAAAACCCATTAAAGTTCCATCATCACAACCATTCCTAACCCAGTCATCCCCAACCTTTCAACATCCAAGGTGAGCCACCATCAAAGCACCATGTTCGGGAAAAAGCACCAAGTGGATGTTGTGCTTTAAGTTGGTTAACAACATCTTGTTTGGGAAATTTTGCCCAAAGGAAACTATGTAGGGTCCTTGATGTTTGGACTTTAATTTTCAGGCTGAAGTATAATTTTTATATTTTCAATTAGTGTGGGCTAAAGTTAGTTTTATACTACATGGGTTGGGTCCTTTAGTTTGTAGGGTTAACTATTATAATTTTATGTAATCATTAGTAATGATTGGTTTTCTTATTTACTTTTTTTATTCTTTGGGTGGATTATTTTGTTTGCTTATTCATCACAATTACTTACTACTGGTCATTCTTTTTATAAATTTAAAATAACCAAGTCACAATTTTATTCATCACAATTAACTTACTGGTCATTCTTTTTATAAATTTAAAATAACAAAGTCACAATTATATATATATATATATATATATATATATATATATATATATTGCTAAATCAATTGTATATCTCTTTAAAAATTATATGACTTTGATTTTCATTGCAATGAGTTTGATTTAAACCAAACTGTAAATTTTCACAAATTTTACCTCAGCCTTTATTCTTTTGTTTGTCTTTTTTTAATGTCTTTGTTCATCTATTTTTTATTTTGCTTGAAACTATTTTGAAATTTAGTCTTGTTATTGTTTTTGACTTTGTAAGTATTTTAATCAATTTTCTAATTTCAATTTAATTTGTCAAAAGAAAATATATTTCTTGCAAATATTTATTTTGTTTAAACATTAACTTTTTGAAAATGAAAATTAATCTTCCCTATGTGATTATTATTAGACTAAACATTCGTATGCAATATCATTATATTTTATTCTACACCCTAGACATTAATTTCTACATGCCTTCTGCTCTATTTTGCTACACTATTATATTTTATTCTAAAGTTCTGATAGGGTTTAGACTTTAAAGAATTCATATGCAAAGAGATTCTTGGCGTGATTGACAGCAAATCAGTATTGGCAGTACCAAGCCACGTTTCATAAAATTAAGCCAATTTTTATCTTACTTCCTAGCAGCAAATTGAGTGCCTACAGATTATTATGGAACCATCAAGTTCTTATCATCTTTGTCCCTTTTCGATGTTTTATATATTCCTCGATTTACCATTGATTTGATTTCTATGTCTAAGTTGATCACTTATTGAGTTGTTATCCATTCTTTCATGGTTCTATGTGTCATTTTAAAAGTGTCAAGCATATCATGTTTTTAGGACCGAATTGTGCTCAATATTGTTAAATATGGTCAAAGACATGGTTATTTTTATTAGTTAGATGCAAAAGATTCTAAGTTGTCGTGATTAGGTATGACACTGACTTAAAAATATATCGGTTTCAGGTTAAAATTGCTATATTGAAGCAAGGACTGATCAAGGAAACTTAAAGGGATAAAATTCAAGCAACTTCATCCTTGCTGAGCGAGCATCACGAATTACCTTGCTGAGTTGCTTGCTTCAATGAGCAACTTAGCGAGCAGGAGTACGAAAACACTTATTTTTCAACTGCAGCTTGCTGGTTTGCTCGCTTTAGCGAGCGCAGCGAGCTTCTCGTAAAAAAGCCCATAGATTTTTTCATTAAAAAGGGAAAGAAAAAGGCAATTAGAATCAAATTTTCTACGACTTGGAGAGGAGAAAAAGCTCTGTTCTGGACTTGAGGAGCGGAGGAAAGGATTAAGGTTTCACCATGGTGATCGACAATTGAGTTCTTTCATGATTTTCTTTAGTTTTTCATCTATTGTCTTAGTTTTCTTGACTATGTCAGGCTATGTTTTCTTGTAGTTAGGGCTAGATGGAACCTTTTGAATCTTGATTACAACTTTTCCTTTTAATTTAATATTTAAACTTTCATGTTGTGCAATTATTCTACGTTTCACTCTTGGTTCTTTTGTGAATTGATCACTCATAGAAGGATACTTGGATTTTAAATGACAATAGGGATGTTGGTGTGAAATTCCGATATGAATAATTGCTAGGTTTTGTTTGATCTAGGGATAGACTAATATAACCTATAATTATGTGTGTTCATCGTTCTTAATGTTTTCTATAATGACACTCACATTTAATTAAGGATTTAATATGGAAGGATAACTATAAAGAAAAAGAGATAAAGTCACCTTTGATGAAAAATGAGTTAAAATGACAGTTAAGGGGTAAAAATTGGGGTAAGCAAAGTTACCCGAAAAGTGAAAGTAAAATTAGAAATATGACTAGAAAAATATTCTAGTCTAGTGGGTAAAGTTTGGTAATGAATGGAGATGTATAGATAGATAAGTTTATACCCTCTAGTGTAGTGAATTCACTTCAGTAACTCAAGTGAGTTACTATTCCTGCATTTTCTTCGTTTCAGCGGACGGACACAGTGAAGGAGAGAAGAAAATGGAGGTTTTGAAATCAAATCTTCCAAGGCTCATAACTTGAGCTAGAGACCTCCTAATCACTCCGTTCCAAAGCCAAACTTGTGAGAAATTTCGAGAGGAATCCATTGGTACCAGTATTTCTGGGTGGGGTTCACTGTAGAGAGAGATCTTCTCCCCAAAGATTTTGAATTTCATGGAAAAGATGAATTTTGATGGAGCTTGAGGCCATGGGAGCTTAGAAACTCATCTCTCCTTTGCTCTAGAGTGCATTGTGGTAAGAAATTTCATTACTTTTCATGTTTTTATGAAGATTGAATTTAGGTTTTCATTTTGAAAATTTGGTTTGATTGAGCATGTTAGAGCTTGATTCAGGTTTAGCTTATGTTGAGAAAAGTGTTTAGATGAGAATTTTAATGGTGAAAATGTATTTAGAAAACTAAAGATACCGTATTTTTGATAGTGTCATATACGTGAATAATGATGTATACATGAATAGTACTGTAGAGATGAACAATATTGTATATATGAATTAATGAATCTTGGATTAGAGGTGTGTGATAAGCTTGAATTTGATGGACTAAAGCATTGGAATCATTAAGTTGGCATGATTTCCTTTATGTGCCTTTTAGCCATTTACAAAGGAAGTATGTGCTATGAGTTACTGTTTTACAAAGCGAGCATACTTTTATGCGTGGAATAATATTCTAAGGTGTATGGACCTTCGCTTTGGTGAAATAAAAAAGAAAATAAAGTAGCTCCTTTGTATGGCCTTAAAATGAGTTTTGGTCATTTTCAAAGGAGGTATATGTTCGGAGATATTGTTTCGCAAAGTGAGAACACTTATATGCGTAAAATAATTTATATAGGTGGCTAAGCTTGGGTTTAGGCACTAGACAAAGAAAAATCTTATAGCTCCTTTGTAATGGGCATTTTGCCTTAAATTGGGAAAAATAGGCTTTTAGGTGCTAAGAGGAGTAATGAGTGTTCTAAAGGCCTTTTGGACTATCCTAAGACTAAGTGAATATGTGGAATTTTGTAGGGATCTGTTGAACAAAGAACCACCCACTCATGACTTAATATGATTAAGTAAAAAAAAAATAAACAATCAAGTGTGTGTCTTGTATGTTTACATGGCATTATATCATTTTATTGAGTTTTGTGTTGAATTCCTTCTCTAGGTGTGCCTAGGGACTGTTAATGTTTGGATTCTCCTGGAGCAAGATAAGTAGCTTGTTCTTCAAGTAAGCAAATTGTAAAGCTCCAAGAGGTAAGCTCTATATTTATGGGATTCGCTCTTACTTTGTGTTCCGCCATAGTGTACGGACTGTGGTCAGGTTGTATGATATGTATGAGATATATGATATAGATGCATTCATATAGAACTATATGATGATGTGATGTGATATGTTTTGATGTGTTTAATTTGATATGTTTTGATGTGTTTACTTTGATATGTTTTGATGTGATTTTTGTAATGATCTCTTGCCATTGATTCTATATGCGCTGATGTCCGCTTGGGGTCCTCCCTTGGGACTGGCTGTGTATATATCTGTTATATGTTTAGCTTTGCTCGGGGTCTTCCCTTGGGAACATGTGCACTGATTTCTGCTTGGGGTCCTCCCTTGGGATTGACTGTGTACACCTCTATTATGCGATGATCTCTGGCCATTGATCCTATATGCACTGATGTCTGCTTGGGGTCATCCCTCGGGACTGATGGTGTACACCTCTGATATGTTTTGGCTCCGCTAGGGGTCCTCCCTTGGGAACACGTACGTTGATTTTCGCTTGGGGTCATCGCTTGGGAATGACGGCGTACGTCTCTGATAAGATATGTTTTGTTCTGAAGTGATTATTGTGATGATTTTGTATATGATATTTGTTACGTACGTTGATTTTCGCTTGGGGTCATCCCTTGGGAATGACGGCGTACGTCTCTGATATGATATGTTTTGTCTGAAGTGATTATTGTAATGTTTTAGTTATGATATTTGTTACGTGCATTGATTTTCGCTTGGGGTCCTTCCTTGGGGAATACTACGTGCATCTCTGATAAGATATGTATATATGCTTAGTTTAGTTATGATATTTGTTACATGAGTTGATTTTCGCTTTGGGTCCTCCCTTGGGAAATACTGCGTGCATCTTTGATAAAATATGTGTATATGCTTGTTCAGTTATGATAATTGCTTATATGATGTTTTTTATATTATGTATCTGACTGTCATGCAGGAAGTGAGCCCAGGGTATGGAGAGTTTTCCATAAACCTGGAGCTTACTAGAGATTCGTCTCTAACCCCGTTTGGGGATATGATTTCAGGAACGCAGTTAATTGAAAAGCCCTCATGGGACAAGGACACTACACGTGGCTAGAGGTACTAGTATGAGGATATGGAGCTTTGGGTGGCCGGACGCTACTATTTATTATATATGGTCAGTATATGTTTTCTACATGTGTTCATATTTGATGCATAAACATTTGTGTGTTCAGATATGTGCATGTGCTGAAATATGTATGTGGTTAGACATAGTGGCACGGAGCCAATTATGCATGCACTAATGGATGGGTATATAGGCCTTTATAAATATCTGGTATTTCTGAAATTATATATGGTATAAACTATTTATCATGAACCTTTGACAGTGGGATTGGCAAATCCCCAGTGTTCCAATTTACAGAGGTTACTTTGCCCGATTTTCGTCTTCGTCAAATACGAATTAAATTAGGAGAAGTATGCAATGTGAGATATCATGTGAATTAAGATTAATGAAAAAGGAAAAAAAAAGTTAGCTCGTATTTTCGTAAGTGAAGTCTTTCGCTGTTTCTGTTTGTATCATATGTATATTAATTTAACCGGCTCGTTTGGGGATGTTACATTTTCCCTAAGCTGAATTGCTAAAGGATTAGGATTCTTAATAGGTCAAAGAATTGAAATACCAGGGGTTGAGTTTTAATTAATTTGTGATGAACTTTTCAACAACATGAGTTTGAATATTGATTGAGGGAAATGGTAGATTGATTAGGAGGAAATTGGGGAAGTAAAAACCATAGCTACGCTTTTGCATAAATAATCTTTATTCTTATCTTAAGTTTGGTAGTTATAGCTTGTGTTTTTATATTTTAATCATATTCATATTTATCAATTCGGTTGATCCAACTTTGGTAGAGTAGTGAAAATAGTGCTTGATAGATCAATCTTTGTTGAAACAATATCTTATCACTTTATTACTTGTGCAACTGGTATACTTGTTGTGATCGCAACAAGTTTTTGGCGCCGTTGCCGGGGATTGAGCGCTATCAACATTATTCGTATCTATAAAATCATATAGATTAGATCATTTCTTATTTATTATATTTTAATTTTTATCTTGTTCTCACTTCTTTCTATTTCTTTGGTTTATGAAACTGCGAGGTACTATTGACGCCAACTCTTTGCAGTACGAATCAGATTTAGGAAGGCATGAGAGGACCAATAGGAAGCATGCTCACGCAAGGAGGGAACAAGAAACTGATGGACAAGTGGCCTCAAACTCAAGAGAGGGGTGAATTGAGTTTTAAAAATATTTTCGCAAAATGCCTCACTTTCTTTCTTGAAAAAGATTTTCTTGAGTTAATATGATTTATACACAAGCAAAGCTTAAAGAATAGAAATCAATACAAGCATGTAGTATGCAAAATGTAAATTTAAATAAGCTCAAGTAATCAAATAATGCTAATGTATAGAGATAAGGAATTAGAGAGATTGCAAACACTATGTATCTTGGTTCGGTCACCACCACCGTGACCTACGTCCAGATTGAAGCCGCTCGTTCAACTTTTCACTAATTATCAAGCTTCAAGGGTGCTTGACAAACCACTATAACCTTCAAGACTTTTAGTTCTTGAAACCCTTACACTTCCACTCACTTTCTTAGGCTATGAGCTACCTTTTCACAAGGGTCTCACTACCCTCAACACAAATGAACAGAATGAGAGTGTTTGGAAATGGATTTGTACTCTTGAAGTACAGATTATACAAGTTGAATCTTATGGGTATTGATCAATGGCACAAGAATAAAGCTCAAAGGAGTTTCATGATCAATATGAGTAAGAACAAGCAATGAATGAGTTTGATTCAATGAGAATGATCAAGAATGAATTCCAAACCAATGGAACAGTGAATCCTTTCTTTCTGATTCGTAATAAATGAATTTATATAAGTGTTGGCACGAAATTAGCCGTTTATAGCCGTTAGACTGCTTACTGTCCAGTAAGTATTGGAATACTTTTCGTGAAGTATTCAAATACTTCATCTGGTATTCAAATACTTTTCTTAAGGTATTCGAATACTTTGTTCTCAGAACAAGTATTCGAATACAGGCAAGAAAGTATTCGAATACTTTCTTGACAGAACATCAATAGTGTAATTTTTTGAGTTATA